GACACATGTTGTTGAGATCAGAGCTCAACCCGGCCTCATTTATAAGGAAGTGAAACTCAGACAGTCGTTGTCACTGAGAGGTGAAATGGCGCAGAAAGGAGTTCAGCTGGACCGAGAAACCTTCTCTTGTTCCATCTGTCTGGATCTACTGAAGGATCCGGTGACTACTCCCTGTGGACACAGCTACTGCATGAACTGTATTAAAAGCTACTGGGATGGAGAGGATGAGAAGAAAATCCACAGCTGCCCTCAGTGTAGGCAGACCTTCACACCGAGGCCTGTCCTGGTAAAAAACACCATGTTAGCAGCTTTAGTGGAGGAACTGAAGAAGACTGGACTCCAAGCTGCTCTTGCTGATCTCTGCTATGCTGGACCTGAAGATGTGGCCTGTGATGTCTGCACTGGGAGAAAACTGAAAGCCCTCAAGTCCTGTCTGGTCTGTCTGGTTTCTTACTGTGAGAAACACCTCCAGCTTCATTATGATGTGGCTCAGTTTAAGAAACACAAGCTGGTGGACCCCTCCAAGAAGCTCCAGGAGAACATCTGCTCTCGTCATGATGAGGTGATGAAGATGTTCTGCCGTACTGATCAGCAGTGTATCTGTTATCTCTGCCCTGTGGATGAACATAAAGGCCACGACACAGTCTCAGCTGCAGCAGAAAGGACTGAGAGGCAGAGAGAGCTCGAGGTGAGTCGACAAAACATCCAGCAGAGAATCCAGGACAGAGAGAAAGATGTGAAGGAGCTTCAACGGGAGGTGGAGGCTATCAATCGCTCTGCTGATAAAGCAGTGGAGGACAGTGAGAAGATCTTCACTCAGCTGATCCGTCTCATGGAGAAAAGAAGCTCTGATGTGAAGCAGCAGGTCAGATCCCAGCAGGAAACTGAAGTGAGTCGAGTCAAAGAGCTTCAGGAGAAGCTGGAGCAGGAGATCACTGAGCTGAAGAGGAAAGACGCTGAGATGAAGAAGCTGTCACACACAGAGGACCACACCCAGTTTCTACACAACTACCCCTCACTGTCAGCACTCAGTGAATCTACATCCAGCATCAATATCCGTCCTCTGAGGTACTTTGAGGATGTGACAGCGGCTGTGTCAGAGCTCAGAGATAAACTACAGGACCTTCTGAGGGACAAATGGACAAACGTCTCACTGACAGTGACTGAAGTGGATGTTTTACTGTCACAACCAGAGCCCAAGACCAGAGCTGGATTCTTACAATATTCACGTGAACTCACACTGGATCCAAACACAGCAAACACACAGCTGTTATTATCTGAGGGGAACAGAAAAGTAACATTCATGAGTCAACATCAGTCTTATTCTAGTCACCCAGACAGATTCACTGGATGTGTTCAGGTCCTGAGTAGAGAGAGTCTGACTGGACGTTGTTACTGGGAGGTGGAGTGGAGAGGGGGAGGAGTTGGTGTAGCAGTCGCATACAAGAATATCAGCAGAGCAGGGAGCTGGAATGAATGTTTTTTGGACACAATAACAAATCTTGGTCATTATATTATTACAATAACAGTTATAACTTTTATTACAACAATGTCCAAACTCCTGTCTCAGGTCCTCAGTCCTCCAGAGTTGGAGTGTATCTGGATCACAGTGCAGGTATTCTGTCCTTCTACAGCGTCTCTGAAACCATGACTCTCCTCCACAGAGTCCAGACCACATTCACTCAGCTCTCTATGCTGGACTTTGTCTTTATCTTGAATCCACTGCTGAGATCTATAAACTGAAATAGACAGAAGTCATTTCAGGGACTTTGTGTTAAACTCTGAGTTTGAATCCTTAAACTGATTTTGTCTTCATGTTTGTTGCTGAGAGCTGATTGTTGTGGCGTTTCTTCAGTGCACAGAGATCAGCTGTCAATCAAACATTGTGGGCGGTACTTTGACATCTTCTCATTAGTTGTCCTGTAAATGTTTGAGTGTGTTTAGGTGGCGCTCCTTCCTGTGTCTGTTCAGCCATACATTTTTATGTGTAGTAATATTTATTAGGTTAACTGTCACAATTGTTATTTTCTAATTGTAAGTATCAGTGAGAACTGGAATTATTCAAGTAAAACTATATATGTCTTTCATGTAATAAATAAACTGTGTGGGAAGAGTAAGTTTTATTGTGTATTTTCACATAATATTCAAAGGTTTCATAGTCATTGCCCATGAACTTAGAAATACCAAGTAAGTTTTAATAGTGTTTGTAATAGTGTTTTGAAACCGGGACTGACTGTATAATTAATAGTTCGCTAGATGCTGTGGATAAATGGCGGGTTTGCCAAAATGATGAGTTTCCTTCGCATAATGAACTCAAGGCAACGACAGAGTACACAACCGCTACACATAGGAGGGGAAGGGAGGAGAGAAAACGTTTCAAATATCCGCAGCGTCGGTTTGGAGAGCCTCTACCAGACCTCACCAAAACCCTGCTGCTAATCATTATTTAAGCTAAAGAGGAAGCTATGGTTTTTGTTCATTTGCAGTGTACTCGTAGTTTGCCACAAATCTAAAATCTTACTGAGACAGAGCAAACAGAGGTCAGGAGAGATGTTCATTCCCACAAAATGTCACTCAGTTTATCAGGATAAATATGATTTCATTTATTGGCATTTCAGATTTGTTTCTTACTGTGGCTGTATATTTTTATTCCATATATGAAAATACTTTATGTGTCTTATTTCAACTAAAAGAACCACCACTTGTAGAAATGATGCACTTTCCATCTTTTGAGTTGTTATAGAGCTACTGATGAGCCTTAAGTATCTGAAATTCAGATTCATTTGTGGAAATTGGAAAAAATTCAAATGATCTATCCAAAACATTTCCTGTGATCATTTTCTTCCACATGCTTCATAAGGACCATCACCTTGTTTGGATCCCTTTCTTTCTAATCCCCTCGTCTATATTTTGCTCATAATTTGATATGAAGCCTCATTGTTCTCTATTCTGATTCCGTTTACACTGTTTCAATTTGGATTCTGCATTATTCTTGATGCATATGACACAGCTCTCTCTCAACAACGTGAATCTAGACCAGCAATGCTCTTGGAGGAGAGGAACAGAAGCACAGCGGCAAAAATGCAGGATTTTCTTCATTTAAGATTTAACACATGTGGAAATGGGTGTAATGTTTTAGATCAGAGCCATATTTTCAAATATTATCCAAAATACATTGGTTTGACAGTGGTACAGTTCATTTTGGTTACATGATCCTCTAGTTTTAATGTAGTATTTCTTGTAGTATTCTGTAGTTTTAATGTATTATTTTGTCTTTGTGTTTTTGTCCTTAAGCCCAAAGCAACAACTTTGTACAGTTGACACAGTGCCATCTCAAACAGCAACTACAGCAAGCTGTGTCACAAGAAAAGCCATCTGGCTATTCAGGTAAAAACAAAATTGTGTAGTGCTTTGCAATTCATAAGTTGTAAGAGGTTTACCATCATCACAGAATATACATACTATTCCAAATGAAAATGAAGCAGAATATGTACTATGCACCTGAACATGGATTCACATATATTTTACAGGATATCAGCAGAGAGGAAGTTCAAGAGGACCAGGCTGAGCAAGTCCTGAGGATCTGTGTCTTCCACACAAGTGAAGAAGATGAAGGTGCATCCGACACTGATGTGTCCATTGTTATTGAAGGGACTGAGGTACTTGACAACTATGGAAGTGTTACAAAGGCCTGTCTCCTGCTCATGAGCATCATTTATGCCATGAATTTGAGTTACCCCCCAAAAACAAAGTACACTTTGGAAGTTTTTCAAAAGCTTCTTCTAGAGCTTGATGTCCTTAAGCTGTCCCCGAAAATCCTGTCTCTGCGAAACAAACTTGAGTCTGAGTGCACATGTATACGGCACAGTTGTTAATGTGGCTATTTGTCTATTTTCTTATTTTTCTCTCGTTTTAATGATGTCATTTTTATTTGAACTTGTTGCACTGTATTAAATACTGTATGTGGCCATGTGGAGTGGCTACGTTTTGGGGACAAAAGAAAAGAAGTTAGATCAGCATTTTCAAGTTAAACCAGAGGTTCTCAACTGGTGGCTCGTGGGGCCATTTTTAATGGGTCACGGATGTGAGTGTGGGCATGAAAAGAGCGAGGGCCAAATATCGCACTTTTTAGTGTCAAGATGCTCTGCTTTTTGTAGGATATTACTCATGATACAGAAACAGACGTTTAGAACCTCAGAGCAAAACACTGTTCTTTAAGATAAAAAGGAATAGTAAGCATGTCTTTTAAGATGCACCAGCATGTCAAATGTTTTCCAGAGTTTAAGGTTAAAAAGCCTCTCCAAACGATAGGCTACGGATGCTCTATGCAAACAGTTCCTGAACTTGTCCTTGTGCCTTTAACAAGCTACCTCAAACCCATTTTAGCCACCCTAAGATGAAATTTCTGTCATCGTCTACTCACCCCGATGCCGATAGAAGGACTCATCATGGTCTTCTGGGAGTTTGCCGAGATGTTTGTTTCTCACAAAACTGCATTGAACGGCAACTTGGCTTCAAACATCCAAAAAATGTCTCCATATTGCTCATCTGAAGTAATCCAAGTGTCCTGCAGCTTACACATTCCTAGATGTTTTGAAAAACAGAACAAAATTGTGTTTTGGCTTTGTTTGCTCTGCTTTGCTTCCACTGTGGTGCTGCGTGAACACGGATGGGCTAGCTGGAAGTTAGTAGTGTGTAAGTTTGTGTGCGGCGTTGGAAGGAGCACGCATTGGAAGAGCAGCAGAGCAAACACAGCTGAAAACACAAGTTTGTTATGTTTTGTACAAACGTCTTGGCATGTGTGAGCTACAGGACACTTGGATTACCTCAGACAAGCAGTATGGAGACATTTGATTGATTATTGATGTATTTTTGGACTTTTGATGCTAAGATACCGCTCACTGCAGTTGAGTGGAAAAAAAGTCTCTCAAACTCGCAGAAGAACACGGATGTTAACAAAACTTCACCAATCCTTCTATTGACAAAGGGGTGAGTAAATAATAACAAAAAATCATCTTAGGGTGAACTATACCTTGTTGTTGTTTTTGCCATGCAAACTTGCTGGAAAATGTTTTATTGAAAAAAATATTTTTTCACTTAAGAAAAATAAATGGGTTGTTAAATTAAACAATTTTTTTTTTAAAGTCATTGTTTCAATAAACAAAAACATTAAGAACAAATTTAGGCAATTTAAACTGCAGAAAAATGATGTAAAATGTTGTGTAAATGTTACTTAAATATAGTCCATAAATAAAAGTTAGACAAAGTATTTAAAAATGACCCAGAAAAGCCATTGGTTTTAGGTGAGATTGTTCCATTTGAAGCTGACCTGGTTCAATGATAACAGCAGTGATGACTGATTCACTGATGTCTGTCTGTGTGTGTCTGGCTCCACCTGCTGTTTCTTATTTTAATTACAGAGGACAATCTACACTGAGGAACTTGTGCACTCTTTTTATTATTTCCCTTCACTACAAAGAGTCTCTGTGATACAACATTGATATGGTGAGATACTGCAGTACTACTTCTTGTCAAACACTATCAGTACACTGCACCAAGTATCTATGTTTCTATTGCACACATGCTCTCAATCTGTGCTTGGACCCCCTTTCTATCATTGAGTAAACTAAGTGACATATTTTATGGATCATTCATGTTATATTCAATGCATAACAGTAAGAGTACAGAACAACTGATACACGGTACAATAACCACAGTGAACACAATAACTGCAGGAAGTTTGTGTAAAATGAGCAGTTTGGAGGAATTTGGAGCAAATTATTTCCTTAATTTAAGAGATGAGTTTTCCTGATACTTTTATGAACTTTTTATACAATCCTCTGTCTGTATTTAGTATTTTATTGATTTTAACTGTCAATTAATAGACTTTTGTTTAACAAATTCAGTGTTTTCTTCTCCCTGATGCCACTGTTCTATCAGCTCTTTGGGTGTTTTAACTGCGTAGACTACTTTTCTAATGCAGGACGAGGCCATTTAGCAGAGATATTTGAACCAGTAGCCTCAAATCCCCAAATAGTATTTTCAACATAAGAGTTGAATAATAATTGTAATCTCTTCTCTACAATCTTTTCCCACGTGACCTGAATGCAGCATCAGGCTGTGACTCCTGTGAGCACACTGACAAAGGAAGATACACAAGAGGGCGCCTTCATCCTGCTAACCAGGGATGTAATGGAGGTTAAAGCACCTCAACTCACTTTGTCTCCACTTTTAGTTCAGAACATGTTTTTATGACAATAAAAGATTTATAGTAAAAGTTCATTGTGTCATACATGGTGACAAACGGTGTCCAACCAGTAAAAGTGCAGATACAATCTCTGTGTGGCTTCTTTAAAAATAGATTCAGTTCTCTGTGTGAAGTTAAGGTGGCCATCAATCACAGTTCCAACATATTTCAAACTACTGACAGTTTCTACAGTGGATCCAGTGAGCAGAGCCGGTCCTGACCTCCCTGGGGCCCGGAGCTAAATTCTGCCAGGGGGCCCTCCTTCCTGACCCGTAAACCCTGTTAACTATTTGCCACACAGTCCCTCAGTGCTCCCACTACAACTGGGTTGTTTGCTCCATCTGTCAGTGTGAGAATCAGTAGATCTATACAGAACAGAATGAGGAATAAACAAACTATATTTATTCAATAGAATATGTTCTATAGAATATTAATG